GTGCAAATCCATATAATGATGCAAAAGATATCCGTGTCAAAATTAGGATGAAAGCAGAATTGCTTTTATTGGGTTTTATGAACTGGAAAAAAAATACAGGAAATTAATACTATATATTATAACTGCAGCAAGATTGTTGGATGCACAACAATGGAAGTATAATGAAATACCCACTGAGAAGACTGGATTATAAAATTAATGGAGCTTGCAGAAATGCCAAAGATGAGCTTTCAAATAATAAAGATATTTGAAAGACTGGAAGTCTTATATGCGCTTTTTGTTCAAGAAAGAAAAGACTGAATTGGGCTTGGGGGCTAGAAAAAAGGAAGGGAAACTGAGGGGTGGGGAGAAAAAAGGAGGGGAACCTGTAAGATGGCAACTATTCAATAGAAGGGCAGAAGCCTTCCTGCCTTCCTTCCTTCCTCCCTCCCTCCCTCCCTCCCTCCTTCCTTCCTTCCTTCCTTCCTTCCTTCATTGAAAACCTTGTTTGGAGAATGGGTGGTGGGCCATCCCTAACTAGGATTGCATGGCTTCCCTCATCAGCTGCAATGAAATCCTGGCAAGAAATAATTAGTGCAGGTACCACCGATTGACTCACTGATATTAAGGCTGACTTTCTGATGACTTGGGACCTTTTATATAATTTTCTTCTTTCATAACAAAAAATAACTATGTGGAATAGTTATTTTTTTCTGCTAAGTTTCAAAGGAATTAAAATTATATTGCCAAATTCAATAATTTTCCAGTGACAGTGTTAAAAACTTTATATGTGCAAGAAACAATGATGAAGGAGTATAGAACTGAATTATTTTCATTACAGAGAAGATTTTACTAGATTTGTTGGATCAAGGACACCTGCCTCCACCAGATGCTGTTGAACCTCAGGTCTTCGCAATGAAGACCTTCAAAGTGAAAAGGGAAGTTGGTGTATTTCAAATACTTGTTAAAAAGTGTGTTTTCTCTTCAAACCTTTTGTGAGCTTCCCATCTCAGAAAGCTGCTACTGATTTTTGGTGTTTGCAGTTGGAGTGGTTTCTGGATTTCACCCAAAATATGGGAGAAGCCACAACCCTGGAATCTTATAGTGCCTGCTGTCGTGACCCGACAAATGCGCGCATGACAAAAGCGCGCCGATGAAACCGCGGCAAAAAAAACGTGACGTCATACACGCGCCCACAACAATGCGATTTCAGTTAAGGTAAGGGTTAGGTTCAGGGTTCTGTTTAGGGTTCTGTTTAGTGTTAGGTTTAGGGTTAGGGTTAGGGTTGTTGAAGGTGCGCTTTTGTTGGCGCGCTTTTGTCAGCGCGCTTTTGTCGGCGCACTGTTGTCGGCGCGCTTCTGCGCTCATTCGTCAGCGCGATTTTGAACTCGTGGTTTTCTCACTGCAGTTTTGTCGGCGTGCTTTTGTCGAGCGCGCATTTGTCGGTGAACCCCTGCTGTAGACCAGGAAACCATTCTGGAGCATGCATGAAAATAATTGCCAGCTATATAACTTATTTACCAGCAACATTCCATAAATCAGTATTATAATAGGGCAGCAAAGTTATGTTCAACTTTTAGAAATTGGCTATTTAAAAAGTGCAGTATTGATTGACAGTAGCCCATGACCAAGGAAGCAAGATTCCTATAGATAGATGGTTCCCTAAACTTGGCAACTTTAAGACTTGTGGACCCAACTCCCAGTGTTGACCCACATGCCTTAAAGTTGCCAAGTTTGGGGACCTGTGCCAAAGGGACTTTTTCATCAGGTTTAGCATCAGGAAAAAAGAGTTAAGATTCCAGAATCTTGGAAACTAGGTAAGCATACTTATCTTAATGTATTATTAAATACATTAAGCAAGGTCCCTGTGAGTTGTCAAGTTTTCTTTCTCACAACCTCCCTAAATGGATCAACCAATGTCTCACTTATGAAATGGGGCTGAAATGTCCCTCCGCTCCTCATATGCCATGTTTTATTTTCCAGACTCCAAGAATTCACCTAACGACTCTTTCCAATATGCTTAGAAGCAAAGGTTTCTTCAAAGAGAGGGAGGCATAAAATGATTGGAAAACTTCAATTATAATAATGCCTCCTAACTATATTTACAATAACCGTGTTTGAAGTTTCTTCAGCTTTTGCCTCTAGGGCTTGTAATCTGGAAGCTACCCTTGTTCTCGGGTGCCTACTGATCTCTTCTTTCTCTCTGGCCCTAAGAATTTTTCAACATATTATGATAAGGAGAAAAGTCCCAACCTGTTTCCAGCCCCATCTGTTCATGGAATACATTATTATATTGTCAGGTGCTCACCCCGTCTTACCTCTGCAAAAGGCAATGCCAGAGGTATGCGTACGAGGGAGAGAATGTGATAGAATAATGTTCTAGAAAATTACATCAAAACTAAACAAGAGGAGCATCTGCATTTCTTGCCAAAGATCATTTCAGATACTTGTAAGAACCTGCAGGTCTCACCCAAATAATGATTCACAAGAAGGAAGAAGAATGGGTCTGCGCTGAATTTTCCCAGCATAGGTGAAATGAGCAAAGCATGGATAATGAAGCTGGATGGTCTAAAAGTCCTGCTTCTACAAGAGAAGAAGGAGATATTTCTCATTTTTTCATTGCAGCATGATTGCGATGCAGTTTGCCGATTACTACCCCCCGAATAAACATATATCAGAGAAAATCTGCACAAACACCCATTATTCACACAAACAATGTACAAAGTTACGTTGGTTTGTGGGGAAATGTAGGAATTTGATATATTAGACAGGGTTTCTAACACAACGTGGACTAGGAGAAGGGTGTATTTAAATACTTAGATATTTAAACAAACTTAAAGGAGTATTAAAATGGGATAAACAAAGTTATACGTGGAAAAATAAACCAAGATCAAATGAAATGGGCAGATTCACTTAGCTCTACCTGGGCTTCTGGATTTCCTCTTTTTCAGAAAACGAAGTTAGTGTATGTGAAGACTATTGGCAAGAGATATGTGATGAGGTGTAGCTGTCTCCATATCAAGGCAATAAGAGTTGAGTCCAGCCCAAATGAAGTAATTTCCTGATAGGTACTACACATACTAATTCACAAAAGATCTTGTTATCAGGAATTCATTTGTCAGCTTTCATATATATAAGTTCTTCATTTTCAGGTGGATGAGATGAAGCAGTAAGATACAGTAAATAGATAAATAGATAGATAGATAGATGGATGGATGGATGGATGGATGGATGGATGGATGGATGGACAGATAAACAGACAGACATGGAAAGAGAGATGGGAAGGGAGGGAGAGGGGGGGGAGAGAGTCTAGAGTTTGATCTATGCTGGGAAAATAATGCAGTTGAGCAGCAGTCCAATAATACAATTGTATGGTATTTACATAGTTATTGTTTACCATATAGCCTTCCCCAAATGGGCACCATTTTAAGGGTGGAGAACTATGACTTCCACATTCCAAACCCAGACTGGATGGCTTTAACCACAATGATAGTTTGGATGAAAAATTATAGTTTTAATCTTGTCCAGCTTATTGCATTTTATTGTATTGCCCAGAGACACTGCTGTGAGATGGATGGCCATATGAATCAAATAAATACATCAAAGTAATAAATATCTTCTCGTATGTATTCAGGCAACTGTCATAAAATTGGGCAATGGTTTATAAAACAGACATGCAAATACTATGTCAGACAGAGGCATATCTGTCAGTGGATATATGTCAATGGGGTTGCATTTTTTTTTGTTCCTTAGAATGTATGTAGGTGGTTTTAATTATCGGAAATGAGTAATCAGGAGTAAAAAAAAAATTGAGGCTTGGATATTTGCTTCTGATTGCTGCTGTTGGAACTTTACTTCTTCAAATGGTTCATCCTGTCATTTACTAAGCAATTGTGCAAGAAATAGACAATTCCTGTGGTAGAAGATCCTTAACTTTAATTAAACTTTAACAATTAATATAAAATGGTGTTCTGCTTCACAGTGATGACTCAGCAGATGTGACTACCACAATGGAACCAACTTTCGATGCTAAAAGACAGTTTTGTAGCTGCCTATTTCTACCTGCTAGAGAATAAATCTAAAATGCGTTCAAGTAACTAACCATTTTGTTAAAAATTATTTTCAAATGTTGTTATTCATCTTTTACTCCAGTGCTAGCTTGTTCCAGATTTCCTGTCAAAACACATTTGATTGTGCTTCATATCTCTTTTTCCAGAAGCATAATTTGCATAAGTGAGCTCCAAACAAACAGCTGGATTCAATTCATCTTTGGCAAACTGAATTCGTAACCCTAATTTCTCTTTTCGTTTGTATATAACCCTCCTCTCGTAATGAAAAAAGAATGCAGCATTTCCCACCCCCAAATTTTTGGGGGAATGAAAAATGGAATGAATCATTTATTGCAAAGTCAGGGAGGAAAAAAAAACCCAACTTAATCCTTATTTTCCTAAGAGGTATGTAAAATTCAAGGTACCAAAATAGACAGTCCACAACCGATTGCTCTCTACTGATAAAGAAAAACATTGCAATTTCTTTTTGTTCATAGTGTTAAATTGTGTTATTGCAATCTTCCCACTTCACCTCCTGCTCCAAATAATAGCACAAAATTTAACATCTATACTCATTTGGGTAGGTTCATTGCCCAAAGCCACAGACCAATGAACATTCCTATTGTCTACTTTCCAGTCCTATGCTGTTCCACCTGGAATAATAGTTTCCCCCTATTTCATCTCATCATCATATACATAGTTGAATTGAATTGAATTTATTATATTTCTATGCCGCCCTATTCCCAGAAGGGACTCAGAGCGGCTCACAACCAGGTCGGGGGGGGGGGGGGGGATACAAATAGGAAAAAAANACTTAATGACCAGTGCAAGCAAAGGTTGTAAAATGGGTAGGTCATTGGTCAGCAAGCTCCATAAGGGTTGTAGGTAGAGGACAACCTGTAATCAAAGCTACTGCATTCAACCAGGTTTTTTTCCCTCTTCTCTACATTATGTCTTTCTTCTTTCTTCTAGGTCATCTATAGAGTACTGGATCCAGCCATTCCAATCCATGATCCCTACAGTGCAAAAATTCAGAGTGAGTTTTTTTAATGGATTCTGGGGCTGAAAAGAGTAGAGTAGTTTACCTTGCCAACTTTAAAATATTCAGCTCTCAGAATTCCCCAGCCAGCATTCTGCGTGAGGAATTCTGGGTGCTGAAGTCCAGATATTTTATCATTATCAAGATTGAGAAACACTTGATTAGAACATTAGTTTGAGGTATAGGAAAGATTTAATATATCCCACTTCCCTTCAAGGTTTTCAGAGCTGTGCCGTGTCCAAAGTATTGCAAATTCTTTCTTGTTCCAGATTAATTTCAGGAAAAACCCAAATAGGTTGACGTGTTCTTGGGGGTGTGGGTGGAGGAATAGAATGGTCCAGGAAACAATGCGACATTCAAGGAATGGACTTTTGCTTTTTTAGTAGCATCCATATGTGGTAAGACTACTTCAGCTTCTAAAATTCTCAGCCACCACGGCAATAAAGATAAGAATACATTTCAAAGTCATCTCTCTGGGGAAGGCCATTTCTTTATTCTCAGTTGCTAAATCTCAACCTGTTGACGAGAATGGTTTCCAAAGGCAGGCTGTTCCATATCGAGAATACTCTACTGGAGTATTTTAAGCAGAAACTGCAGAGCCGTTTATCACGGGTGAAAAATTATCCAGGGATTTCTTTTGTTGGCGGTGAAGGGGATTATGAAATTACTTTTCCTCCTTTTCCAGTTCTTTTCCAACCTGATGATTCTTCTGAAAAATATATATCCCCCAGTAGACTCAAAATTCTAGCTAAACATGCTATTACCACAAGAATCTCTTCCCAACGAGAAAATATCCTATACCAGTCTATGTAGCACACACACACACACACCCATATAAAGGAGAGATTTATTTAACTAGTTAGTTCACTCTGTTTGCAGTCCAGTCTGCAGCTGGCCTTGTCTTTTGCCCTATTTCAGGCTAGTTAATTTTGGCCCTCCATGTATTTTTTGCTCTAGCAATTACTCTGTTGGCTCCAAGGATCTGTCTGGGCATTTGCTATCCCTTGCCTTCCCTCCTCCCTAACGTGGTGCATATTTTTCTGATTCTAGCTGATACTTCGTACAAGCCAGTTAATCTAAAATGGTCAAGCTTCTTGCTTTCTCACCACAATCTTGAGGGGTCCTTGGTGCTCTCTGAGCATGCTTGTTTTCTTGCAGACATTTCATTACAAACTAGGTAACATCATCAAGGGCCAGTGAGGAGTGCTGTCTGCTGTCAGTTTATATTCTAGTGGCTTGCCTTTCAGTGTTGGTGGGAGCTGTCTTAGAGATTCTGGTTGGGCTGTTGGCTGCAATAACCACTATATAGGCGAAACAGGCAGAACACATCCACAAACACCACCTAGCAGTCAGAAGACATGATGAAAATTCTTTAATTTTACAACATATAGATAGATTTAACCATAGTTTCCATTGGGAAAATGTGACCATCCAAGACCAAGCCAAGTCCAAAAAANAGGGCTGTAAAAGCACTACGAAGCGGTATATAAGTCTAAGTGCTGTTGCGATCCTTGTGCTCTCTTGGATGCTGCTTCTGGTGTGGTTGATGGGTGGGAAGTGCCATTGGCTGATGGAGTGTAGAGGGAAGCACCTGTATGTTCTTGCCCTCCTCAGAATGCAACTGCAATGAACATTCCCACCGGTGCCACTTCGACATGGCTGCGTACCTGGCCACGGGCAACGTCAGCGGTGGGGTCTGCGATCAGTGCCAGCACAACACCATGGGCCATCACTGCCAGTTCTGCAAACCATTCTACTATAAGGATCCCACCAAGGATATCCGTGATCCTGGCATGTGCAGAGGTAAGAGAGGGAGCTGAGGGCGGGCAGAGGAAAATGGACTTTCAGAATTGAGAATCTGCAAGAAGAGAGGAATTTTCTTGAAGACAGGCTCCAGTTTTCACCACTGGGAGAGCTGGAGGACAAGAGCACGGGTAGTTAGAGCACAGGTAGTTCTCAACTTACAACCATTCATTTAGTGACCATCTGAAGTTGGGGAGTCTAATGGCTCTGAAAAAAAAGTGATTTATACCATTTTTCAAACATACGAGTTGTTGCATTCCGATAGTAATGGGATCAGAATTCAGACACTTGGCAACTGACAGGTATTTATGAAGGCTGCAGTGTCCCAGGGTCACATGATCACTTTCTGCTACCCTCTGAGAAACAAAGGAAGCCAGGTTCACCTAACAGCCATGTTACTCACTTAATGGCCACAGTCATCCACTTAATGTGCAAGAAAGGTTGCAAAATGGGTCAAAACTCATTTAATGTCTCGCTTAGCAAGCAAAATGTCAGGATCAATTTTAGCCATAAGTCGAAGATTACCTAGGTGAAGGCATCTAACCCCATATATTTCTAGGTCCTATATGCCCTTTGAACATCTGTTGAAAATTAAATCCTAAAGATTAAGGAGACACATGAAATACTGTGGGGTTGTTTTTGTTTTTTTTTGGAGTATAAAATGTACCGGAGTATAAAACGCACCAAGATTTTGAAGAGGTAAATTAAAAAGAAAAGTTTTTGCCCTCTGCAGACCTCCCAAACCTTCTGCATGCCTCATTTTTTGTGAAAAATGGGGCATGCAGAGAGTTTGAGAGGCCTGCAAAGTGCTCCTAGGGGTGGGGCAAAAATGAGCAAAAAACGCCCCATTTTTCTTGAAAAAAGGCCTGTTTTTTGCCCCCCAAAAGGGCTCCTGGGGGCTCCTGGGGACTAGTGGGGAGCAAAAACTGGGCCGGTTTTTGCCCTAAAAAAAGGACATGCATAAGGTTTGGGAGGCTTGTAGAGTACTCTGTGTGTGTGTGTGTGTGTGTCAAAAACAAGCCAAAAACAGCCCATTTTTCACTATTTCTTGCTCTCCCCAGTCCCCAGTCCTCCCAAACTTCTGCACGTCCATTTTTGTGAAGGGGTGGGGTTTTGGGAGGCCAAAAATGCTGTATTCAGTGTATAAGACGCATCCAGATTTTCACCCTCTTTTTTGCGGGAAAAAGGTGAATCTTATACTCCGGAAAATACGGTATGTGGCTGTGGGGATGCGTGCAGCCATCGGAACTCTGGAACCAGACTGCACATAGGTTTTGAGAGTGTCCATCATAACGTTGAACCAGCAGTGTAATCCTCTGAAGTCTGCTACTGGTTTGGTGAGTCTGCTTCCGAGCACGCACACATGTGCACTTGAGGTGCGCCCATGCAGCGCTAAAAAAGGAACATTTTTAAACCTTCTGAGTTTGCAAAGTTAAGTAGAACAATGGGGGGGGG